ACATACAAAAAATTAAGAAACATTTCTATTCTTGCAACTACTTTTTGTTCAGGAAGAAATAAATTACGTTCTAACAGAAATATATTTCTTTTCAAAAGAAACAAAGTTTTATTTAATCAAATTGACTAAATAGTGAAGTATTATATGTGGTTTATATATTTTGTTATTTCACATTATTCAAATCATCTTATGTTAAATTTATATCCATGTTAACTATAAAAATAGAAAACACTATAAACTAACTATAACATCCACATAATTTTCATTAGTAATTAATTTTTATTTAGTAATAAAAAAAATATTAGTTATATTAAATATATATTACTGTAATATATTACTAGTTTGTTTGAGATTTATTTTCAGTATCAGATGCTCAAAAAAAAGTTTTTATAAAGCAAAATAATTTTAAAATAAACTGAGCAGTTGTTGAGGATGGCAAATCATCATTGATAATAACGTTAAAAGAAAAATATGAAATTAAAAATGATTTACAAATATAAATTGTCAATATATTGTTTATCTGTTAACATTTACTAAACCATTTTTAAACTTTTTGCTATATAACCTACAATATGGATATGGAAGAATACTTTTTTACTACTTCTCACAGAGATTTCTTTAAAGACGACAACTGGAGTGAAAAATTTGTTAAAAAAATGCTTTTAATTGTTTAATTATTTGATATCACTATTCTTTAAAAAACTTTTAGTATTAGTAACTTCAGTGAGTAAAATTTCAAATAGCCAAACGTTAATGCAACTCATCTACAGATGATATCCAAATTTGCTGAACCCAATTATAATCATAACTTAAATGATCTTTAATTTAAAAGAACTATTTAACTAATGCAACTGAGTAGAAAGATTTGTATTAGAACTGTTGCCATAGATAATTAAGATTTTTCTCATTTTACCAAAGTTTTTTTAGATTTAACACTTCATTTGTAAGTTTTAGGGTTTTATATAACTTTGCTGTTAAAAAAATTTCCTGTTTAATTTCAACACCATCTTTGAACTTAGTATACTCAAATAGGGGAAGTTTTGATAGTCAAAGTTTCACTGGTTGTATTTCTCAATCAATTACAATAATTTTTTTTATTTTATTAATTTTTTTTATTATTTACTACAGTTTTTATTATTTACGAAATGTTCTTATTATATAATGAATGTTCTTCAAAATTTTCTATAGTATATCATTTTTAAAAAGTTTAGACCTGTTTCACCAAAACTTTTATTATGTATATGTCTGTATACACATTTCTTCAACTAATAAGCCAACATTTTTTGCAATATTTGGTCCATTTTTGAGTAATAAATTTGCATATTTGTACAGCACGAATATTACCAAAATAATTTCTTAATAAATATAGCAATAAAAAATCTTTGATTTCTTTATTATTTTTTTAAATTCCTTAAAAACGAAACAAACTAAAATAAAAGAAAAGGATCCGCATGATTTAATAGGTAAGTAGTGAAGTGTTCAAATATATATATATATATGCAAGGCATTTATATGACAATAAAAAAACACTGTTTTAAGATAATAGACAACTCTTGTAAAATTAATTCATATAAGCTCTCATCAACTTGTATAATAATCTCAATAACTTATAGTATATAAGTAATTATTTGTGGTATAAATAACTCAATTTGTTGGTTTAAGAATCTTAAACCTTCTAGTATTAAGCAATAACTTGTAAAATACAATATTACAATTAAGTTTTACATTTGGTAGCAGCCTTCCATACCAGCAATGTATTTAAACAATACTATTTTTTTGCAATTTTAAACATTCTGAAACAGAAATGACTAGATGACTAACTACAGAAACTTCATTAATATATGACTATTTGCAAAAGTTATTTGTCCATGACACTTGGATGTTGAGTGCGTATTGGGTATAATCTTTTATTAAACAGAGTCTTTCAGCACGCTATCCTTGTTTTATTAGGCAAGATCTTTTAGCCAGTTCTCATTGTTCTAATACACAGAATCTGTTAGTTACTCTCCTTGTTTTAATGTATTTTTTGCTTGAAAATGTTTTCTACATATAACAGATAAGTTAGTTGGCATTCAGTTTAGCATATTTACAAATAACTGTATCATTTAAACCTTTTATTATTTGTCATTATTCCTTAATATTACCCAAACTTTTTGTAACTTTTTATGGTTTGTAATTCTTTTTTGGCATTATATGAAAACACTGTCACTACATCTTATTTTAAATCGTTTAATAAATAGCCAACAAGACAACTTCCAATATTTTTTGTTCGACTAACAGAACTCCTAGCTTATGTCGTATAACATTTTCATTCAAAACCGCAAAAAAACTGGGCTTCTCTTTTTTCTTCAAAAATGGGCTTCTCTTTTTTCGTCAAAAATGGGCTTCTCTTTTTTTTGTCAAAAATTTTCTTTTTTCGTCAAAAATACATTAATTAGGCAAAGATGTCATATTGCAACCCTTTTTTTTTGACATTGCCGAAAAAACATCACTAGGTTAAAAGAAAAAATTTTAACCTAATAAATAATGAATAAATAACTTTGAATAATGAATATAATGAATAAATGAATAAATGAATATAATGAAAATAATAAATAAATAACTTTTAATGAATAAATAACTTTGCTATCTTATTAATTGTATACATTTTTGTTTCACTTGAACACAATATTTCTTTAGTTTACTTAAAAAAAAAATATTTTAATAAATTTTTTTCTATGTAATTTTAATATTTATATATATAATACTTCTGTATTTAAACTTATTTAACGTTAATAACTTTCATTTTGCAACTTTTCAAACATTGTTTAGATTAGAGTAAAGCCGGGTGAAACTGCACGCTAATCAAAATAAAAAATTGTATTTTTTTTATTTTTCATTTTTATTTTTTATTAGAAAGGTTAAAAAAAATCTACATAAGAAAACAAAAGTTTATATTAAAAAACATTAAATATATGCAAAAAAAAAAAATCAGTTCCTACTATATATTTTTTTTGTAACCATGTTTCTTTGCACTGCTGTTCCCGACATATCGAATTCTCTCATTGTTGTGTGTAATTTGTAATCTACACTTTTTACATTTTGAAAATTTTAATCCTTTAGCTGCTGGTATATATTTTTATTGATATTTTGCTGCGGTTGCTCAGCATTGTTATGCGCAGGCATTTGAGTACTTAGTATAGAGAGTCTATACTTTGCGTTAAACTTAGCCATGTTTACGGCTTCCTTTGTTGCTGTTTCATCACAATTCCAATTATGTAACCCAGTAGTTATACCAGTGTATTAATTTTGCTTAACCTCGCATTCACAATAAAAATTACTTGTTTCTGGCGTACAAAAAGTAGCTCTTTTAAATGCAAAGTTTTCCGCTTTTTTTGTTAAAATTTCTTTTGTGTATTTTTTCAAAAAGACATAAAACCAGTTTTTTCCAGGTTTGTCAATTTTAAATAAGTGCAATCGATCTTTGCATTGAAGGTAGCCACATACAAATTCGAGGATTTTATTTCGGGTTAAATAACCCCAGTCACCTAGTGATTGAAACGCATGCACTATTGTTCTTTCTGTTTCATTTTAAAGAACCGTTGTTGTACCTGAGCCATAGATGTCATAGTAACTGTTATTTTTGCCAACTTTGAAAGTTTAGACTGAAATGCCATGTTTGAATGCAGTTTTTCTTAGTAATGTTTTATATTTTTTTCATATCAGTTAATGCGGCTAATATATTATCTTCTTTGTATGCTGTTGTTTTTTAGTTTATATTTTAAAATGAATGAGTTTAGTTAAATTAAGTGAGTGATGATTATTTTGAAAAACAACATATTTACTGGTTTTTAATGTGAAAGTAATGATTGTTTTGACAAATAACATTATATTTGATTTTAAGTTAAACTGGAACTAACACTAAATTAATTAGATAAAGATAAATGCTTTGTAATTAGCAAAAAAACTAAATTAAGTAAAGTAATCATGTGTGTGGTCAAAAAAAAATTTTTTTTTTAATTTTTTATTTAACTTTTTGTTCGAGCTGAATAAAAAACGAACTATCAGCATAATTAATAAATTTATATCATAATACTTCTAAATTTATTTTTGCATCAGTTTGTGTTCGAGCGCTATGTTTTCTCATCGATAAAAAATATATAAACATTTTTCAGTCAACGTTAAAGTTAAAGAAATAAAAAAAAGAATGGAATCGGTATAAAATTTTATCAATTTGATCAAAGGAGGTAGTTCTGCATATGAATCTATATCCGTTCAGTTTTTATGTGTTAATTTCGACCAGTGTGTGGAAAGATATAGTTTAAAAAAATTGGTTGTCTAACCATATGCATTTATGCTTTCTTAACACCCACTATCTTATTCGCATTTGGATACTTTTTGGGTAACTTACTCCCTATACCGATACCTGCATCCGTACTTTACTGAAAACCTCTTACTTAATGTTGCTGTAATAGCAGTCAAAAAACTTGTATTATTTATAAAAAAAGTTGATTTAAAAAATTTAACAAGAGCATCATATATTATAGTTAGTATCTTTCATTTGATAAAAAATATTGCTTCACATGGTTTCTTGACTTCTATTTATTAATGTTTATATGTTAAAAAGCTTCAAAAAAGGTAGCAACTTAAAGAATTGTAAAAACCAAATTTTGTATTGATTTAAATGCTCTCTAATAAAATACTTTCTAAGAAAGCAGTTTTTATGTGTATCAACAACAAACTTCAAGTGTATAATTTCATGAGTTTAAAAACAAGATATTTGTCTTGGTATCAGTAATATACATTCCTATATTTTTTTAGATTTATTTGGATATTTAGTTTTTAGGAAGTTTAAAGGAACTAATTATATATTTTTAAAAATGTTGCCATCAGGTTGGCTAATCCTTATAATCAATCTGTTAATACCCTAAAGGTAAATGGTTGACCTTCGGTCAATGTAGTTTATGAAAACAATGTCTTCAATGTGTCTAAATAATGTGCTTTTGTATAATATGATTTAGGGTTGTGTTATGGATACAGCCCGGAAATCGAAGCTAATTGCTTTCTAAGTCAAAGTTATACTGGTAAAGTTATAATTATTCTTACTTTAAAATTACATTTTTAAACAAATGTATATAAAATAATAAAAACTGTAATTGTATATTTTTTACAATAGTATGTGCAAAAATAGATAAAATAAATTTGTTATTATACTTTTTAATATATATATATGTATATATATATATATATATATATATATATATATATATATATATATATATATATATATGTGTGTGTGTGTGTGTGTGTGTGTGTGTGTGTGTGTGTGTGTGTGTGTGTGTGTTTGTGTGTGTGTATGTGTGTGTGTGTGTGTGTGTGTGTGTGTGTGTGTGTGGCATCCCTGTCACAACTTTAGCGAACTTGTGTTTTTTTACTTTTTTATACTATTTTTATCATAGTTATATATATTTTTTAATTTTTATTTAATTTTTTTTTTTTTTTTATTTAAACAATTTATCATTTTATTATAAAAGTATACTTTTTATATTTGTTTTTGTTATTTTAATGTATTTTTTTATATTATATTTTATTTTTAACTTTCTCTATTTATGAAAACGAATAATGACAATAATATAACCAAATTGAAACCTTGCCGTAACCCCATCCCTATGCCTGATCTTGATGCCTGGTCTAACGAAACCCTCAGTTGATGTAGCAGCACTTCCTTGCGAATTTGGTTATTTGAAAGTCGATGTGTGTACTTTTCGTTCTCTATAAAAGTTTCATATGGGTACATTTTTTTAATAAAAAAAAAAATGCTTACGGGGACAAAAAATTAACGGGTACACTAAAATGTCCCTGATAATGCTAATGCCCTCGTAAGTATTAGTTTTTTGTAAAAAAATTTTTCCGCAAGTGATAAAAGATACAATAATCTAGGGTGTCTGTCTCTATTTCATTTCTTTTTGATGTATAAAGATGTATAAAGATATTTTCAAAGTTTTTATAATATTTGGAAATAATCTAGGTATCCCAGGCAACATTTGCAGTTTTACTATAGCGAACTAATAATGGGATGTGCATATTGTTTAATATTGAACATAATATGCATAAGAACCATTTTATCATTATGGTTTAGCCACTATCTTATCATTTATAATGTTACATTAGTCAAATTCTGTCATCTCTAGAAGCACCTAACAGATTAAAACAGTTCTATCTATGTTATTAAATGATAAACAGTAGCGGAAAATTTGTACGGTGACAATCGAACTATTACAATAACGTACATTACAACATTGTTTACAATATTCATTATATTGCTGAGAGTAATTTAAATTTACGTCGTACACGATTTCATCAATGCTCACCATTGTCACAATATTATCACTTGTAAGTTAACTTGCGTTTGCACAGACTAGACTTTTTGCAGGGTTTGTGCTCCATAGCTTGAAGAACGCATTGATAGTGTTTTTAATTTTTTATTTTGCAGTAGTTTAAAAAGTATATCATGTTTCAGTTCCCAAATAATCAACAAGAGTAATTGTACTTGTGATTAATTCTGGAAAGGCAGGTTTTTTAAAGCCAGAGCCATATCAGGATACCAGGGTTTCAGTATAGGCTGCTTTCTCTGTTGATGCTATCTTTAGACGAGTTGCTAAGGAAACAAGTTTGGGTCTTAAACACAGTTAAAATAATTTCGCAAAGATATCCTCTATTTCTGGGACCTATTTCATCAAAGAAGGACTTGAACTGCGTGCGGACGGTATCGTTCTAACTTTATAATTGTCATCAAGCTGAGTGCGGTTGTCGCACGTATCACCATTATTAAGCTGATACCATCATCATAAAGATGATACATCATAAGCCTTGCTGATATGTTGGAAGACGCGTCTCAGTTATTTCCGCGTTATCTACCGTGATCTTGTTGCCAAAATTAAACATCACAGGCAATTTCCTAGTACTTTTCTTAGCAAAATTTTTTGGAAAAAAATTGCTGATTATATATTATCAGTGACAAAATCAGAAACATACGCAGACGCATGAGCTGCATGTTAGTCATCTTTAATAATTGTAACTGAATGATGGACATCCAAATTATCCATTTTCGATACATCAACCTAAAAATATAAAAACAGTTATTGGACTAAACATCTACAACAAGCATACAACATTAAACAAAAGAGAAAACCAGTAATATTCACATTATATATATATACTAGCTGTCATGACCCGTAAAATACGGGTCTTAAGGATATTGATGCACACTTTATCCGCGTGGTTACAGTTCATAAGAACTATTATCTGGTTTATAACGCAAGAAAATCTTAATCAAATGAAAACATCTAAATGATAACTTGTATATATATATATATATATATATATATATATATATATATATATATATATATATATATATATATATATATATATATATACATATATATATATATATATATATATATATATATATATATATATATATACATATATATATATATATATATATATATATATATATATATATATATATATATTATATATATATATATATATATATATATATATATATATATATATATATATATATATATATATATATATATATATATATATATATATATATTTCTACTTTAGTTACAGTCTACGAAAACACTTCATACATAATAACATGTGGAGAGCAATCTTTAATTAGAATTAAAAATGCTGTTTATGGTAGTCAGGAACGATTTATTAAATGTTTATCAAAAAATGTGTCTAATTTTTTTCAAATACTATGCGATAGAAATAGCAGTTGTTTAATTGAACCCAACAATGAGATGTTAGGTGGTGACCCTTGTCCTTATATTAATAAATACATTTTACTCGACTACATTTGTTTTTTAGAAGGTAAGAATAAAAATGTATCTTTTTTTTCTATATATATATATATATATATATATATATATATATATATATATATATATACATATATATATATATATATATATATCTATATATATATTTATATATATATATATATATATATATATATATATATATATATATATATATATATATATATATATATATATATATATATATATATATATATATATATATATATATATATATATATATATATTTCAGCCTATCACTGTTTTCATAAAAACAGTAATAGGTTGAAAATATAGGGTTAAACTGTTTTCTTTTGGTATATTTTTTTTTATGTAAAATTGTATAAACTTATACATTTCTAATGTATAAAATAGATGCATTTATACATAGCTCCAAATTGTTTGATCCTAACTTTGCTACTTAATATTAACATTATAAGTTTATTTAACATCTAAACTTTTTAGTTTATGCTTATATTTAAAACTAATTTTTGGTGTGAAGATGTTAAACTATAATAACAAAAAAACTATTGGTAATTTTTTTCTGTGAGGTGTTTGGACGCAATGGAGCGTTTGGACTAATTGCAATGATACACATGGATTTATAAACAGAACACGAGATTGCAAAGTTTCAAAAGGTATGGAATGGTGTTATGGATACAACTCTGAAGTATTAGAATGTTTTGGTAAGTCTATAATTAATATTTCCATATTTCCATAAATATAACTTTTGCAATCATATGACTTACTATCTCACTATGACTTGCAAATATAAATTTTACAAGTTATAGTGAGACATTTATATAATTTCTTTTTGAAAAAAAAATTACGTTACTTTTAAAATATAAAAATTATAATTCTAATTCAAAACCCTGAACACTAAAAATAAATATAATAAAACCGTGAATGCTAAAAATAAATATAAAAATTAATAAAAAAATAAAACATTAAATTTACGACTTCAAAATTAATAACAGTCAAAACATACATGTTTTAAAATATTGTTTATTTAAATACATTGCTCTTAACTCTTTAACTCGAAAAGTTAAAGAAAATATGAAAATATGAAAATTGTGATTGAGAAATTGTAATACGTAATTGAGAAACACTAGAGTAATTTAGATATCGTAAAATAAATTTAAGAAACTCAATGAGTTGTTAAAAATCGCAAAATGTAATTGAGAAACACAGCATGTGAATAATATTTTGTAATATGTAATAAAGGATAAATAAACTGTATCAAGAATACATAAATTGTAATTATGAAAGTGTAATATATTATTGCAAATTCACAATATAAGCTTATAGCTTACAATAAAAAGTTTTATGGAACGTTTTTTGAAATAAGTTAAAATCAATAAAAATGGAACTTAAAGAATGTTGTTTTTTTTTTTTCAAAACCTTAAGACCAAAAAGTCTGCTATTAAATTCAATCGGTGTCAGCATTTTTTTACCAAATTAGCTAACACCCGTTTCTGGAACAACCAAAACCAACTTGTCCAATTTGCCGGCATGAAGAACATACAACCGAGCAAGTTAAAGGAAAACATTATGTTTTATCTTCACAAATGACATAAAAGCTGCTGAATTTTTTGAGCGAAATGGCAACTGGATGACTCTGCCGCAAAGTTTAGTGGTCAAATATAAATACTACAGAGCATTGTGCAATGATTTTAAATATGAAAGATGTCCATGCCGGTGTTTAACAGAATATTGTAATGATTTTTAATGACATTGTTTAAATTTAATTAATATCTTTATGTTTTTTGTGAATAAATTATTTGCGTTTTGCTTATTTCTTTTTCATCACTTTTTTATTTTATTGATAGTATATTATTATTTATGGAAAACCAATTGATATGGCCACTTTAGCCAAATAAGAAACAAACCTTTAATTACAATGTAAATTATGTCATAAAATTAAAAGTACCAAGAACTTCGTTCTAACAAATTATATAATAAACTTTTCTTAATTAAAACTATTATTTTCTCAATTACATCTTGCAATTTTTTAATTACAACTTTCAATTTCTAAATTGCATCCTCGTTTCTCATTTACAACTTTTGTAAATGAGAAATCTCCTCAGTTGCATCTAACGTTTCTTAATTACATCATTCAAGTTCTCAATTATATCTTGAAAAGGTGTAGTTTTATCTCAACATTTATAAAATGAAATAAAATATTAAAGTGTAAACCATAACTTTTATAATAATAATAAAAATATTAGTAATAATATGGTTTTATAATGAGATTTTATGTCATAGTTCAAGAGCAGTATAAAGATTTTCCTAATGTTAACAGACATTGAGTTTAGTGATAAAAATATAGTTAACGGTTTGTAAAAAGATACAAACTTAAACACCCGAAGCATTTCCAGATATCACAATTTTTTTAAATAATTTAACATATTCTTAAAATGGTCTGCAAATAGTTTCTTATTCAGTTTGTTAATAGTTCAACAAAACAAATATTTTATTTAAATCAGTTAAAGTGTTCAAGCATTTGAACCCTAGTATATTTGTATTTTCCATAATTAAATGCAATCATTTTTGAACATAACCCTCCAAACTAAGTACGTGTTTGAAAAAAAATGTTTATTATTGCGTCATGTAAAATGCTTTTAAGGCTCTTTATGTTAAATAAGTCACATAAAAAGTTAAAATCAACCGTTGCAAAATATGGTGGTTTTTTAATTAAAATTGCAATCACTGATTTCTTCAGTATTAGATAATTATTATCCAAAAAGTTAAATTGTTTTTTTACATTAAAAAAAATCCAATACTAAACTATTTAGTTTTAAACTTATAATTTGAATTAATTGTGGAACGCTGGACTGTATTTATACTGTATACTATTTAACCATTTTAAAAATGGTTATATTGTAATAAAATAGTAATGTATTTGTTAAATTTCAATTTAATCAACCTCGAATCACACTACTAAACAACTTTGTCTGAATATCTTTTTTTTACGTTATGACATTTTTGGGAAAATATTTATAAAAATAGAAAAGAGTTATCCCCTGTAAAAGTATACCACTTGTGACTTCAACAAAATTGGGAATTACATCACCAAGAACCGCTCTTTGTCTTCTGTAGCAAATAAAAAATTTGATCTTACCGAGCAGTTTTCCTCTGATCTCGTTCACTGCAAGTTTTATAAGTAATTTGCAATGTGACACATTACCTTATTATTGATTTTACTAAATTTTGTCAAAAGTTTTAGTAAAATCAAGATAAATAACATCTATTAGATGACTTGTTAATAATTCCTATGTGATTATATCTATAGTTTTTACGAATTTGAGGTACATAATTTTTTCTGCACAAATGTGTTAAACATTACTTAATAGATTGTTAATTTCATTTACTGAATGATTACATTTTAAAATACTGTCTCAAATACAATGCAAAATATTGTGGCTTGTGAAACCAATTGATAGTTGACTTAAATCATTTTGCTATACATCTATTGGATTGATGTTTGCTTTGGAGCATGTTTTTGGTACCTCACTGAGTTCACAAGAAGACCTAAGTATATTAGAATGTGGAGCCATCTGTCGCATTTTTGAGTACGTTTGCATTGATGCATAGACTACATCACAGCCCATGGGCTACTATTTATATAATGTTTAAAGGTGTTTAAAAACATAATTTATCTATATGCTTAAAAGCTTTAAAGCTATAAATGCCCTATTATCACACTTAGGTTTACCAAAATGTTCAACAGTAAAAACAGATTTTAACTAGTCATTTATCATATTTGAAAATAAAGATCTATTAATTAGGGAAAGTTACAGCTCATTGATAAACTTTTACTTCAGAATGAAAGCAAATCATAATAATGGCATTGTAGAAATAATAATGGTATTAAAATGAGTACATTATATGTGTAAGTAATCTTAATTGAAACAAATTACTTCAAAAAATTTTTAGGACCCATTTATTTAAAAAATTAATTTGTATCAAGTTACCTTTATTATGGGGTACATTGATACAAGCCAGGGACATATTTGATTTATTACAAATGATAAAGCAAAACATAAAATGTTAAACAAAACTAATTTTCAGTATTTTTCATTGATACGTATTTAAGTCTAAAGATTTTTTATTGATACAAATCAATGAGCTTTATTGATACATATCAATGCATTAAAAAAAAATGCAATTAAGTTAAAGTACCAAACATTTGTTAAGATAAAAAACTATTACAAACAAAGACGTATACTTACTCAATAACGTTTTGCACAATTGGTAACATTAAATATCTTAGAAAAAAAACAGGATTGGCAAAAGCCCGTTTTTTTTTAAAAAAAAAAAAACTAGCACAGAGGGCCTTTCGGGTTTTTTTGGGTTCTATTTTGGTTTCGTATCTGTTAAATTTTTTTCTGTTTTTTGTTTAACTGTATTAAAAATTGGTATAGTTTTCTACTTTAACTTTATTTAAATTATATTTTATATAGTGTAATTTAATAATTTATAACAAGATTTTTCAAATTATTTTGAAAAAGATTTTTAAACATAATTTAAAACTGTTATAGAAATAAAAAATTTACCTTTAAACCTATCTGTTGATAGGTTGTTTTCAAAGTAATGCTTTTTATAATAAAAAATATTGATGAGAAATAGAAAAAAGAAAGCTAGAGAACGGGAGGAAGTAAATGAAGTTTTAATTAAACTTTAAATTTAAACTTGAAATTCAAATGAACAAACTTTTTTCTCCACGCAACGGCCTTGTTCATAAAGGTTCTAGTTTCAGAGTTAAAAAAGGGTTGTAACCACAATAAGGTAGCTTCCTTGACTGTAGTGGCTTTCTCAGCCTTGCAATGAATATCATAAAAGGGTAAAAAGTGACAATATGTAAAAATATTTGTACCAAAACTGGGATAATGTATTTGAAATAATGATTCATATATCATTAAATCTGCTCTAATAGCTTGACCATCGTCTCAAATTGAAACAAATTCTTTGGCATCTGTTAGTTTTATTAGTTGGCAAAAACCTTGTAAGAAACAACAGCTGACGTAATATTACGCAATATCAATACAATTTTATTAGAAATCTTGCAATATTTAGAATAGCTGTCTTCAAATCCAACTAAAAAATTTGGTGTTGTTTTAGATCAAGTAACTTTTTCTAAGTAAAAGTTTTCATTACAAAATACGTCTTTATAGATCTAAAGAAAAATTAATAATTGAAAATAAGAATAAATAATGATAATTTTTTTTTTTTATAGGTGATTAGCGTATTAATTAAAAATAAAGACAAGGCAGATTACGGCTTTACAAACATTATCCTGATTTTGTACCTTGGTTGATTAGAGTTAGGGGTTGGGTGAACTCTCACCTTAACCTAACCCTTAAATTAAGTCACTGTGTTTATTGTAGGATTTAAGGATTTAAGGTAGAATGTCCAGTGATAAGACAAAACAGATAATGGCTTTACAATGTCATAAATGAAATGATTTTTATCCAAGTGCATTTATCCTAAAATATATTATTGCATGATTTTTTTATTTTATTTGGTTTCTGAAAATATCATTGTAAAAAAACTTTTTATAAATAGTATTGTGTTTGAATTGAAATTTTTTCCTTTATAGCTAGCTCTTAAAAAATGTTTATGTTTTTCAGAATTACTGGTTATAATAGTTGATAAAATTGTAAAATATCTTTAAAAAAATAACAATAAAACTCTGATTTCTAGGGTTTTATTGGGTTTTTTAAGAAAGGTTTTATTGGGCTGGTTTTTCTGGGCAGGTATTTTAACACTGGAAACCCAGGAAAAAATATATTTAAAGAAGATATTAAAGTTTTTAATTTAGAGAGTCTGAAACATGTCTATGAATTTTAAGTTTGTATCAGTGACTGAACTCTGTTGCAACAATATTTTTTTATTCGTTTCTACAGACACTGTGAGTTTAGTGTGTGAATTACTCATTTATTGTGTGCTTTTTTTGTGTAACACCTTCTGTATCTGTGTGCCCTTTATGTCAATGTGCCCCAAAAACTAGTTTTCTCTATAATGTGAATTGTCTTGATGTGCTTTTATATAACATTTTTGTGTTCTCATAGTTATAAAAAAGCAAGAAAAGTAAAGCACATTATTTTTCTGAATGAATTTTAAAGTTTGCGTTAACCTAACCTAACACCTAGGCTCTCTTTGTCCACAATTTTATCCTATCTTACTTTTTTCGGGTATAAACTTTGCTCCAAATTATTTGTTTTCTTTGAAAATTTGTTTTACAACTAACTTATACTAGGTTATTCAATTGAATTTATAAAATGTAGCATTTATATAGTTATAGCTCTTTAAATAAAGCATTTATTGCTGCGAGAAATTTAAAGGTTAATTCTGATATTAATTATATTTTGTGGGAATTTAACTTTCAATATTTTATTGTTATTGCCTTGTTTTACATTACATTTTTATACATTATATTTTACTGCTGTTACTTTTTGTAAGTATGAACTAAATATTGTTTATGTTTTATATTATTGTAAATTTTATATATAATTATTTTATATATTAACTAAATATTGTTTATGTTTTATATTATGTTATTGTTTATGTTTTAGTTATTAGTTCTTAATTATAACCTTAATTGCTAAAGTCTTATTAAATAAAAAATCAGATAGAACTTTATAATTTTTATGCCACAATTCAGTAAAATCTTGCATTATAGTTTAACAAACTAAATTTTTTCTTTTTTAATGACTGTTTTTACCCTCTTTATAAATCCTTTCTCCATTAGTTATTACAATACTTTTTCTTCAAATGTAAAAAGTGGTATTGGTGTATTGGTAGGGTGATCAGTCCATAGACATGAGGTTCCGAACTCAATCCCCATCACGTCCTTGTAGTACTGCACTAACTTTTTAATCAAGGAGGTAGTGGTGAATTGATAAAACGCTTGATTCATAAGCAAGAAGTTCCAAGTACGCTTTTCACCAAATCAATGATATTGCAGTACTCAACTTGATTCACCTCTCAGCGGCCTTGTATAGCAAGGTTTATATTTCAAGTTATAGAGTTGAAAAATTGTTGTAACTAAGACTATGGAAGCCATAGTCTTAGTTACAACCTTTACTGTAGCGATGGAGACTTAGGGAAGTAAAAAAAAACTTTTCCAGATATACTATTTGAAGCTTGTTATAGAGAAGGTCAACCTGACAGATTTTATTGTAAGTTTTTGATATGTCCAGAGCAATAGCCTTTGTCTTTTTGCTACTATCTAATGCATGATAATACTTTTTTGTCAAGGTAAGCAGTTAAACAAGAAAATTAAAATTTGCATTTGTTGTTAGAAAGTAAATTGTTAGGCTTAAAATGAGATATTAGAGATTTAATAAACAAAGACTCAATGACCTTGTAATTTAAGAAATAATTAAAGAAAGACAAGGTTTTGATCCTACATATACAGTAGTATTATAGTCTGGCAAGTGGTTAGGCTTTATTTAAGTTAACAATAACAACAATATTGGCTAAGTTTAATTTAAACGGGGTTAATCAATATGATCAAAAATAATTGAAAAGAGAAAAATTTAAACCCGGTTCAACCATAAAACAGACTGTGCTTACTTTTATTCTCAAAGACTCTAATAGTCTCAAAGCCATTTAGAGTCTTTGAGAATGAAAATAAGTTCCGTCGATAGACAATATCTCATATTTTAACCTCTGGTAATATAATAGTATTAATTAGTTTTATTTCTCAGTTTAGGCCTAATTAACAAAAGCCCCATTTACAAGGTGAGGGTTAGTCAAATTTCATTTAACCTCATAATTCATTGTTTCTATTTTTCTTTTATAACTTTCTTCCAGAGATAGTAATTGTTCTTTTGAAAAAAGATTTTTAACCTGCGTAAAAAAAATATTCTTTATAAGTTCAATAATAGCATTTTTTTTTTTTTTTTTTTTTCTTTGAAATTAAAAATATAAAAAATTAACACACCTATCTACGAAAACATAACAATTATTAAAAAAAAAAAAAAAAAAACGGTCTTTTATAAAAATTTACTCAGTCTTAATCAAGGCCGGCGCAATAGGGGGTGTGAGGTGTGTGACACCTCCTATCAATGATTTTTAGTCGAAAATTTGACCCTTTTCGACTAGTTATTCGGCAAATGTAGACCCAGTCGATATATTAGTCGTTAAATTTAGACAGCCAGTCTGCAAATGTCGTTAAAAAACAAGGTCCGTTTTTTTTTTTTTTTTTTTTATAGTCGGCAAAGGTTGTAATTGCATACCCCCCTCCCCACGTGACAACTACTCGCGCCGGTCCTGATCTTTATAAATAAAAAGTTTACAAAGTTATCAACCTGTTTTCAAAAAGTTTATTCAATAGTTAAATTAGAGAAACATGGTCAAAACTGTTCATTATACCCTCTATTTTATTCTTCTTTGATATACTATATTTAAGTAAAACAATGAAGAATATTATATTCTGTTTACTATTATTGATAAAATAGTAAATTTATTTGAAATCAAGCTAGAATGACAATGAATGAATAAATTTGACTTTAATTATTTAATTGATATTAGTTTTTTTTGAATATCTCCAATGGTCATATAAAAAAATTTTTTGTAATAATATTTCGGTTAAATTATTATTAGAAAATTTTTTTTTAATAATATATTTGTGTATAATTTATTATACAATAATATGTAATGCTTATAAATAAATTACCCAACCAATATCTGATTGAGTTTTATTTTTATTTTGTTTTAGCTTTTTGGACACAATGGAGCCTTTGGTCTAATTGTAATAGTTCGTATGGATTTATGAACAGAACCAGAATATGCAATGTTTCAAATATAATTTCCTGGTGTAATGGAAACAATTTAGAAGTAAAGCAGTGCTTTGGTAAATATTTTCGTCTTAATCATTTTTGTTACAATTTTTGTAAAGTTAAAAAAATATTAAATATTTTTAACACTGTTAAATTTTGTAAACCTTATATTTAGAGTTAAATGTTAAGTATATAGGTTTTAAATTGTGTATTAATTTATGCTTATAATTGCCATGAATTATGAAAATTATTAGTGAGTTTATGTTTAGTAATTTTTTATTTTAAATTTCTCTTAAATCAATAGTTCGAAAATCAATTTCTTTTTCAGTTAAATAATTTGTTTGGCATTACATTTTTTTTAATTTTTTGCAAAGAAAACAAACATAATTATGTTTTTAGTTTTTTGGACACAATGGAGTATATGGACAAATTGTAATGATTCCTATGGATATATGAATAGAACTAGGGAGTGTAGTGTTTCGAATGCTATAGATTGGTGCTACGGCAACAACTTTGAAGTAATAAATTGCTTCGGTAGGTATTAATTAATAACTATTATATACTTTTTATTGTAACATATTACATTGTTAAAATACCTTTTTATATTGATTTTTTGATTTAAAACATTTCTTTTTATCTCGAAACATGATGCCTAGTACCCATCATTTTCTATTACTCTGATGAAATATATAAAATCAACATAAAAATAGGCCTTGCTCAATCTGGAGGCAAAGAAGTTGGTAATCTGGAGGAAAAAACTAAATATGCATTTTTGATGTTGCTTTCCTTAATCTTTAGATGGTTGAGAGTATGTTTCTCATGATAAAAATTTACTTTAGAATATAAGAAATTTGAAGGCAAAAATGAATTTAAAAGTTTTTCAAAAATTTACTTTTTTTTTTTATTTTCTTATTTTGTGTAGAAAATATTTTTAAGCAATCTAGTATATATAGAGATTTTGCTTAAATAACTTTTTGTGAAATTTGTAAGCTCTAAAAAATTTTTACGTAATGACTTCTAAAAACAGAATTTTGAATTAACGTTCAATAAAATGTCTCAAACCTATATGGACAAACTTAACTAATTTTAAGATACAAAGACTAGTAAATTAGGACTCAACCAACCAAACCATTAACTCAATGACTTCGACTAATGCCTAATCATAGAATGTAATTTCCTATATAATGAAGATATAATCATTCTCATTTTTATATCTGGTGAAGAAACTAATATTAACAACTGCAGACCTATTTCCGTTTTATCCTGCTTCTCTAATTTATTGGAACGAATTATGTACAACAGACTTTACAACTATTTGATGTTAAACAGTTTGCTGTACAGTAAACAACTTGGATTTCAAAAAGAAATTCAACATTCAAAAAGATAATTCAACATCGTAATCGAACTAATTAATCATGTATCGGATGCATTCAATAATGACTATTTTACTCTTGGAGTTTTTATTGATCTGTCGAAAGCCTTTGACACTGTTAACCATAAGATACTTATAAAAAAAATAGAACTGTATGGAATAAAGAGTAAAAATTTACTTTGATTTGAAGACTACCTAGCGAACAGGTCACAATGTATTATTTTTAATAAAAAAGAAAAAGAAAAACTTAAGGTTTGTGACCCGAGGTTTAATCATAGGGCCATTATTATTTTTATTGTATATAAATGATTTATACTTAGCATCAAGTATTTTAAATGTTATATTGTTTGCAGATGACTCCCTTCTTTTTTATTCCAATAAAGATATAAAAGCTCTCTTTAATATATTTAATGAAGAACTATTCAAAGTAATTGGTTTACAAGCAAGGCTTTCTTTAAATGTAGAAAAAAACTAAATTTATTTTATTTTCCAAACCTAGTAAAGGTAATGATGTTCCTCTAAAATTACCCTAATCTCCTAATCAATAAAACATTTATTAAAAGGGAACCAATTGTTTATTTTCTAGGAGTAATAATAGATGAAAACTTGTCATGGAAACCACATATAAAATATATAGAAGATAAAATATCAAGAAATATTTATATATTATATAAAACTGAACCATATCTTAACACGTCTTCTCTAAAAAAATATACTTTTCATTTATTCATAGTGTTATCTCTTACTGCAATATTGCATGGGGTAGTACAAACTATGGAAAGTTGAAAAAACTTCATAATAATCAAAAACATGCATGCAGGATTATATTTAGTGCCCACAGAACTTTTCAATGTGAAACTCTTTTAAGGAAGCTCAATTCCCTAAGTGTCTATAAACTTAATATACACCAAGTTCTACAATTTATGTTTAAAACTAAACAAGAACTCTCTCCTATTGTATTTCAGTCTTACTTTAGTGAAATCTCGCACAAGTATCCTACTAAATTTTCAATTAATAATTTTATTGTTCCAAAAACTAATTCAAAACTAAATTCCTATAAAATCCAATACCGCGGACCGTTTCTATGGAAACATTTTTCAAAATTTATCACTAAAAATATTAATGCTCAACACATCTCTTTGGAAAAAGTCAGAAAAGAATCTACGAATCTCTTATTACAAAAAGACTTTGATTTAAAATATCTCTTTTAAAAATAATACACAAATAATATAAGTCGTCTAAAAAAATAGTTATTGAGACTACTTCTTTTTTGTTGCAATTTTAATCTAATTTAATTTTTTATTGAAAAACTTTAATACTTTTAAACTATTGTTAATCTTTGATATAATGCGTTATATTTTAACACTAATATTTATATTATGTTATTAGTTATATTGTAACTAACGTATTTAAAATTTTTGTTATGTACTTAACTACTCTTCATTTTTTATATTAACTGACGATTTTTTAATGTAAATTTTATGATGGGGCTTTATGATAAGACAGCTTATGTCTTCTGCTTGCTCTAATTCTCTTATTTATTAACACGATTTATTTCATTGTAAATTTCAATATATGACAAAACTCTTTGCATAAAAAAAAAAAAAATGAAAGAGATAACCAAAAATTTAAAAACTCAACACATAAAACTCAACACTTAAAAACCAGCACTTAAAAAACAAAACTAAAACACTAAAAACTGATCACCGAAAATTAAACAGTGCATCAATGTTTTACTGCTTCATGGTTTAGAGAAACCTAGGATTCATTTAAAAACTTTTTTGGGAAGCTTTCGCCATGCTTAGAGTTTTGCCATTTGTAGCTGTTGGATTTTTAGAATATTGATATATCACATAAACGCAAATCAATGTACTTATTTTAAAGGTTTTAAAAAAAAAAGTTTCTGAAACATTTATAACTAGTTTTAAACTAAAATATAGTTTTTTGAAAAGAAAAAAATTTGTAAATAAATCTAAAAGTTTTTATCAGTTTTTCCTAGTCTAATTTTAGAACTTAATTAAGGAGTTATTTATTTTAAGTTACTGAAGACAATAAATTGCGTTTTTTTTATCAAGGATTATATTGGGTTTTATGGAGTATATTGGGGACTATGATGATCTTAATTGCTTTTCTCAGTCTAATATCTAATTTCTAATGTAAGAAAATTTTTAATAATTGTTTAAATTTAATATTTTTGGAATAAATAAAATCTATAGTAATTTTTTTTGAACCAATATTTTTTTTCCTTACAAGCATCCATAAAAAAGATCATAAACAAGAGCACCTTTTTAGTTAAGAAGTGTGTTGAGATCAATTTGATGATTTTATTTTTAGCATTGCAATAATTCATGATCATTGATATTTTAGTTAAGAAGTGTGTTGAGATCAATTTGATGATTTTATTTTTAGCATTGCAATAATTCATGATCATTGATATTTTAGTTAAGAAGTGTGTTGAGATCAATTTGATGATTTTATTTTTAGCATTGCAATAATTCATGATCATTGATATTTTAGTTAAGAAGTGTGTTGAGATCAATTTGATGATTTTATTTTTAGCATTGCAATAATTCATGATCATTGATATTTTAGTTAAGAAGTGTGTTGAGATCAATTTGATGATTTTATTTTTAGCATTGCAATAATTCATGATCATTGATATTTTAGTTAAGAAGTGTGTTGAGATCAATTTGATGATTTTATTTTTAGCATTGCAATAATTCATGATCATTGATATTCTATTTTGTATTTGATTTAAAATTATATGTTGTGAGCATTCAGATGTCAAGTTACTTAATGCATTAATTTTATTCTTGAATATGCTATTTTTTAGAAAATATATTTGTTAAAAAAGTATATTTGATTTTTTGAAAAAACAAAAAATTAAATTTTATGTTTCAATTTCATCTCTATATATTATTGCTGAACTTAACCCTGTTATTGTTAGAAATACCTATTCGAAAGTGTTTGAAACAGAACCCTTAACAGATTTACTGTCAAGAGTTTTAACAAAAATTGCATTGCATAAAGTTCTCCTTAATTTTAATCTAGAGCATTTATTTTTGTGAAAAAAATCAATATATAGTTTTAAAAAATCTTGTGCGTTTTTGAACATAGAAGGCGCGGTTTGAGTTCTACCCTACCTGCATTTGTTTTTAAAAGTTCTAAATGCCTTTTAAATTTTTTTTTAAATGTCTTTTAAACGTTTTTTATGGAAGAATGTTTAGGAAACTTTTAAAAGACATTTAAAATACATTTAGAACGTAACATTTTAAAAAAATACCTGCTGTGATCAGTCGTGACCTTATTTGTTTTCATTGTTTTAGGTATTTTAAAACAAAATATATTTTTGAAGTTTTATATAAACTATATACAAACAAATGTAACAGTATCATACACTTTACCAAACAAAAAGGTTTTTAAAAGCTAAAAAACATCAAAACACCAGGACAAAAAATTGTTTGAATTAATAATTGAGATACTTATGTTATTATCGTGCTCAGGTAATTAGTCCATATAAGCTATGGATGATCTGTAAAAAAATTTGTCTGAACCTTAATAAAGTAAAAAAGTTAATAGCATAGTCCTACTACTTCAGAAGGTGCTGCTGTTGAGGCAAAGAAAAAAAATATATAGCTAGAAAACATTTTAAAACATTTTTTATGACAATTAAAAATTTTGTTTGCTACATTTATACCTTTAATTTAATTTTTTTTATGGATGATACAACCAATTTTTATTATTTATTATTTTTTATTGTTATTATTATGATATTTTATTACTATTTTTATTATTTATATAGATGATACAACCAACTTTATTATATGGATGATACAACCAATATATTGTAAATGAGATAAGTAAACGGAAAAATTAAAAGCTCTAATTAAAAGCCACTGCAGTAGTAATTGCAGTTCAGCAAAATTTAAAATTCATTACTTGAATTTAGTTCAGTAAAACTTTTTAATTAAAATATTTTAGTTGTAGAATATTGATGTTCGTAAAAAAACTTTATATATACATTATTTTTTAATACAAACTACTTTGGTTTTACAACTTTATTATATAGACTTATGCGCTTAACAGTTCTTATATAAACGATATAAATTATATATATATATATATATATATATATATATATATATATATATATATATATATA